GAGATTCTGAACTGGATGCAGCGCAGACACCAGGAATAGAATCAGAAGCTGCCTAGCCCTGAGGGCCTCTCGGAAATAGTTCAGATTTTGAATCTTGTCAGATTTGGGGGTATTTGAATGACTTTATTGCTTAAACATCCCTAGCCTGAAAATCAAAAATACTCCAACAATCAAAACTTTTTGCAAAGATTTTCCAATGAGGGATGCTCTCAACTTTTACATGGTGTGGCTTTGATAGGGTTCTCTTCCTATTTTTATTCAAATGACCAGAGCTGTTGAAGATAACATTCTATCACCATAGTAACTGACCTTGAATTATAATTTTTATAATCGTGTGTTTGTTGTGAAATTGTACGGATGAAACTATGACGAACCCGGCTGAAGTAGGCAGTGCAGAGCCCAGTGTCTCCGTCACTCCGAGCAGGAGAAATCACCCTTAAAGATGTTCCATCCAGCACTAATTTACTCAAAATGTGCTGCCTGCTAGGAAGATTAATGATAGGTGGCCTTTTACAGAGCTGCTCAGCCTGGGCCTAATGTGCTGGTTGTTTTTTTATTATCCCAAACCCCAATAACTAAGGGAGTTTTCACCATGCCCTTTGTTCACAATATGGGACTGTAATTGAGTTCAGATTTCTCACCCAACCTTTCAGTTGTAATTAATATTTTATTATAGCAGATTTTATCACTAACTAGCAGAGCAGCAGGCTACTGAACTTCATGCTAGTGTATGCATGTGTGTGCGTGCACATGCGCGCACACATACACACACACACACGCATACACACGGCGTTAGTAACTTACTGAAGCCAGGAAAGCTCCTTGTAATGGGTTATGGCTGGGAGAGCATAAAATATGCCTGTGTTGTCCTGCAGATATTCCACAGCAGTGTATGGCCAGCCTTGAGATCACAGCGGGAGAAAGAGAAATTACGCTGCTACCCTAGAATGCTCAGCCCCACAGGCCGGCTCGTGCTGCCTGGTGTGTGACAGTGTGCTGTCATCTGTGTGACACTCATTACCCGTGATCACCTATGATTGACGGTGCAGGACAGAGTGGGGTCGCGTCGTCAGCACCCACGTTCCCTTCCGGATCCCAAGGAGCCCCTGCCATGATGACAGCATGCCGGGTGCAGTCTGCTTCCTGATTTTCAGCCGATGATATACTTTTTTAAACTCAGTGCGATCTTAGCAGGTTCTTTGGAATATTTGGGTGTCATTTCAATAAATATGAACAGATTTAGGGGAGAGCCATGTCTGACTGAGGAGCAGGAAGGACGTACGCTGCTTGTGGGTTGCAGGGCAGTAACTGGGCCGGTGTGTCGTTTGCATGCAATATTTTCATTTTTTTCTCAACCCCTGCCTAAATTACTCATCAGAAAGATATCAGTACTGATCTCTTATATAGAAATATAAATTGTTCCAAGAATTTCAAATCAAGGCAAAAGTCACTAATAGGAGCCGTAAAAGGAACTCTCTTGTAAGCCCCTAAAGTGATCAGAAATGCCCATTTTAGAGGATCAGTTGGCAAAGCCATGATGAAAGGATGATTACATCTCTTCCTCTGCTGTCTTCCTTAGGCCTCATCCTGTTCGCCAGTTGTGCAACCTTCTACTATTTTATTCTGATAAGAAATAAAATAAATGGGTAAGAAAAATGAACTTAATGATGAAGGGTTTCATCTTGAAATGAATTAGGACAAAAAAAATTTAAGTCAGTTTCACATCTGCGGGCTTCTTCCCAGAGACCTCAGAGTTGGGGAGAAACTGAAAACATTTAATCACATTTGAACTTTCAAGTTTAAAAAAGGACATGAAAGATATTCGGATGTTCCTTTCTAGGTTATACTTCATGTGCTATTCTATATAAATGTAGATTTCTTATTCTCCTTGTAAAGGCCTTAGAATTTTGTTGTAGAGAAGCCTAGCATAAATTAAACTTTAAATTAAATTTCATTCTGTCAGAAAGTTCTGATATAGTGATGTCACACTTTTGGCAGATTCATCTCAGCTCTGAGTTGCACTTTAATATTGCAAATGCCATAGGAAGATTTTTATGTTGCTTTATATTCCAGAACAGTGATAGAACAGGGCTAGGCATGGTGCAATTTTAATAAACAAAGGAGCCTGACTAATACATTAGAAGGATAATAGAATTTGAATTCAGCTCGCTAGGCTAGACCCTTCTGATGGGCTTCCTATCCTTGGGCATTTGCTTTCTTTAATCTTTTTGGAAAAACCATTCAGTGAGCTTTTCAAAGCTAGTTTGGAGGTTATGATTGTGGATGGAATGGTTGTATGAAATTCATTAGTGGTATGACGTCATGTGCGTAGATGAAAACCATACGCTTCTGCCCGGTATCATAGCCTAGGCACTAATAACACGTTGATTTCCACTGGGGCAACGGCAGTGGATGGCCCGTGGGCAGGAAGAGGATTTAGCTATTTTTCATTAGCACTTGGACTTTGATAAAGGGGAATAGAAAAGAGCTGCTTGACCTTTGAGTGCTTAAATTATTAAAGAGCAAATAGATTTGAGGTCTGGATGCTTGCAAATCTAATTTGTCTTGTGGAGCAAGGATGAAAAGACATTTGCGGTTGGAAATGGCTCCAGTCAACGTAGTTCTGTCTTTAATATATCTGAAGATGAGTAGATGGTAGCCATTTAAAAAGTAATATGTCTGGAGTCGGGTGTATAATGCAACTAATGCTAGCTGACTGCAAGGGAGGCCCATTAAATGATCGTTTAATTCTCACATTTTCACTCAATCCTCATTAAATTGCTGCTTGGGCCAAAATTATTTTTTCATCTGGATGGTATTTAAGTTACAAGACACAAAATTCTGTTTCATTAGGGGTTAGCTTTTAGGGAACAATATATTGTTTGAGTTAAAGTAGAGCAGAGCTTGGCACATAGAGGGGCTCAGCATTTGCTGAGTCAAGCATGTGGCATGTACATGTAATCCCAGCAACTTGGGAGGCTGAAGCAGGAGGATCACAAGTTTGAGGCCAGCCTGGGTAACTTAGTAAGACCCTGTCTCAAGCACGAGTGAAAGTGTTGGGGATGTGGCCCAGTTGTAGAGTGCTTGCCTGGAATGTGTGAGGCCCAGGTTTAATCTCTACCACTGTGAAACAAAAGAGCCATTGTTTGAGCTAATAAATGGTGAACACACGCATCACACACTCTGAAAAGCTGCAGAGAAGGGAACAGGACAGGGCCGAGGGGACAGACACGGTTAGTTCCCTCCAATTTCATCACTGAATTGAGAGTTATCCTGGGTAGACGTAAGTGCTGACCAGCTGTCTTACCACAAAACGCGCTCCCTGATAATTTCCTCCTCTTTAGCTTTTAAGGATTCGGGAAATGAATACAAAATAAACCTGAGATCAAGTTTAGTACAGCAAAGCACATTGGTGAATTTCGGTGAGTTTTGTCCTTACACGTACAATACGTCGTCTCCCTCCGAAGAAAATCGAAATGGCTTCTGGATTATATTTTGCCTTTAAAACTGTGCCTCATAGCCCACTCCATTCTAAGTGTCAAGAAAGTGATTTCAAGAGCTTGGTCTCACCCCTGCCGGTGTCCTTTTTAATGGAGTCCAGGGTTAAGGTCCTGCCCTCCTGTCCTCTGCAGCTGGACTGAGTCAAGTGGCATACAGCCTTTTACTTGGACCTTGACCTGTGCTCCTGCCCTTGTGTGTCCCAGTAAAGAGCACCGCCCCAGCCCCTGCCCTTCCCAAGACCCCCAGGATGCCTGAAGCCGCGAACAGTGCAGAAGCCTGCGTGGACCCTGCTTCTTCCAGCACACATGACCCTGCGGCAAAGCTTCGTTTATAAGTCAGGCACCGTAAGAGACGGTCAGCAGTAGCTCATGCGGCTAGCACAGCAATAACAGTACAGTGTCATAAAAGTGATATGAATGCGGTGTCTAGCTTGTAAAAATCAAAATGAATGTTACTGTTTCACATGGCAGTTGATGGAGGGTAGCAGCACAGGAAGTGAATCTGTGGATGGGGCTACTTACTGTCCTCATCGTTGGTCAGGCCACTCCAAAATTTAGCAGTATAAAATGGCCAATGGATGTCACAGGCCAGCAGAGCGCTGGCAGGCAGCTTCTGCTTCAGGTGTGTAGGGACCGCAGGCAGGGGAAGGCTCAGCCGTGTGACGTTCTGCGGTGGCTCACACACGTGGTCCTCCACGCTGTGGGCAGAGCGCCGGCCTGTGCCCTTGAGTGCATACCAGGTTCAAGATCGTGGGACCACATCTTTGGTGATGGGCTCCCGGCATTACCTGCGGTGTCCCTTCTGCCATGCTGCTGGTGGCATATGTGTCATTACACATAGCCAACCCAGCACTTTGATGGGAGAAGCATCAAGGGCCTTGCAGATAGATATGTTTCAAAATCACAACATCTGACTGGGCTTATAAGATGTCAGGGAGGACAGGAGAAGAGTCAAAGTCTGCTTGACCTCCTGTATGTCCCTCTGAGCTGGCTTTGGAGAAAGTCTTTAAATATAACCTGTTCTGCAGGAAGAAATCCGCCCCACCGCATTGAGGACCTTGCATGACTGCTCCCCCAACAGAAAGTGCCTGGGATTAGGGAAGAAGAGCTTGTCTCCCTTCTCTTTATTGAACAACACATTGCCTTTTGTCACAAATGTGCAATTAATTCTCTGCAAGATCGTCTTCAGTTGTATGAGTAAAGAGCATCGTTTTAGTGTCCAGTTTATAAACATTTGTCACACACTTTTTTTGAGTATGGTGAATTTTGTTCCTCTCAAAAAACAGTGCTACTTGGCCAAAGATGCTGCGGGAGAGTGTAAGCACCGCCTCTTGCCGGGAGCCAGGATCAAGTGGCAATCTGCCATGCACCTCGGCGCATCCCATATGCACCTACCTGTGCCTGTGATGCTGTCCAGCGTGTTCTCTATCTCACACGTGCTGTAGCAGATCAGCTCTGTTATCCAAACATACCATTGATGATCCTCTCTCTTTTTTCCAGTGTCTACCAAATAGTCGTTGAGGAAGAACGTCCTCGAAGAACTAAAAAGACAACAGAGATCTTAAAGTGCTACCCGATACCAATCCACTTCCAGAATGCATCTCTGCTGAACTCTCAGTACTATTTTGCCGCCGAGTTTCCGGCCGACAGCATCCAGGCTGCCCAGCCTTTCACTATCGGTGATAACAAGACCTACAATGGATACTGGAACACCCCCCTGCTCCCCCATAAAAGCTACAGAATTTACTTCCAAGCTGCTAGTAGAGCCAATGGGGTACGTTTTATAGATGACCGCTGACTGCAGGTATTTTGAGTTATTAAGGCAAGTGTAGCTTAAATAAGATAGTAGTAAATGGATGAAGTCAGGCCTTTGTGTGCTTTTACTCAGGCAAATGGGTTTCTTCTCCTTGTGAAATTATTTTCATGTAGAGAAACTTACGGCAAGAAATGAGAATATTCATCGTGTTTTAGAGGAGTTGGAAAAATATATCAGCATGATGGCTTTTATTTTCAGATTTTCTTATTACCAAAAGTTGGCTAGTCATTCTGCTTAGCTTACTAATTCTACGGGAAAACAGCACAGCTATGACACATATATTCAGCTCATTTAAAATTTTGTGAGATCCACAACATCTGTCTTTTAAGCATATTCTGTGCCATTTCTTTAGCTCCAAAGAGTTTATGCCTCCTATAGCTGCAACTAAATTAGGTATTTTTTTCTTTTCTAAGAGAAAACAACTTTAGAAAGATCAGATGGAAACAAAGTAAAATTCTCACGGAGTCGTTTCTGAAATGTTCCCCCTTTCCTGTTCACACCAACGCGGAACTCTGATAGGAACTCCAAACCACCTCAGGGGGAAGGAAGCGTTTCCGAGTTCCACCCTGGCTCCTTCCTAGCGCAGTCCTAGGTGTCCACCTGACTTTTGCCAGGGAGAGGAGGGCAAGTCTGGGGTCATACGTGTGTCTGGAGCAGGAACCCGGCTCCACCAGGCAGGGACACAGGCGTCCAGCTCTTCGTTCCTTATCGGTTCAGGGTTACCCAGAGCTCTGTGAAGGGCACCGGGAAATGTGTCTGAGCATGGCTCCAGAGTAATCAGTGGTGATAAAGCCTCACTTGGAACAGTGAGATCTTCCCTATCCAGTTAACTGCAGATTTCTCTGTTGTTTTTAATAAAACGTGAGTCGTAACTCCTCCCCTTTTTATTTCTTACAGGAAACCAAAATCGACTGTGTTCGCGTAGCCACAAAAGGTAGGTTGAAACTATGGGTTGATTTCCTGATTATGTCTTTTAAAACTTACTTTAGACTGTTTTAAAATGGCTTGAAATGTAATTCCATTGAAAAGTGAATGTTTATACCTGTGTATTACATATATATATATATGTATATATGCATGAATGTACATATATCTAAGTGTCAGGACATCATGGCAGTTAGTCTTGACTCTTTCCTGTCGACACTTCTTGCTATGTTCAAAGCAGTTTCCCCATGGACTTTAAATTTTTTTAATGTTAATTTTTACAAGATGCCTTTATACGTGTTTTAGATCATAGTGTTCCATACCTGATAAAAGGATATGTAGTGAATCTTCATATAAAAGGGGTAGTTAAAATATTACTGCCATCCTTTTTAATTTATTTTTTTGAGATAAGATCACGTTCTGTTGCCAAGGCTGGCCCCAAACTCCTGAGCCCAAGAGATCCTCCCAGCTCAGCCTCACGCGTAGCTGGGGCTCTGGGTATGCACTGCTGGGCCTCACCCCCCGCCCCCCACCACACACACACACTCTGCAGCAGCGATCTGGTCAGGACGGCACTAGAGGGTCAGGTCTGTGTGGCTCCCCCGCTCACGATGCTTGGCTCCAGATCACTCCTTAGGGAACTTGTTCCTCCTGCCTGGATGCACACCACCGAGGAAGAGCTGTGCAAGTGGGTGGGTGACACACCTTGCTCTCCCACGCAGCACCCCTAAAGAAGGTGCTGCTGAGTATGCTCATGTGTGAGCAACACTGTCCCATTAACCTCACAGCACTGCCTCACCCGTCACACACAGAAGTGTAGGAGACAGTGCTTTGAGAAACTCCGAATGCTGTCTTAAAATGAGGCATTATAAATGAACTGGCAGTTAAATACGTCACGCAGGCCACCAAACATGCGTGGCTTTGTGTGATTTAATTGAGAAGGGATGGGAAGGTCACCCTGGATGAGTTCTATGGGCGAGAACTATCTTCACGGTTGTTTACCTTTCAGGCAACAATTTGAACTGCCAAGGTTCTACACGAACATTTTCAGAATCCTCATTGCATTATTTCATGAAGATGCGTGACTTTTAAACTTAGTGGTAGCTTAGCAAATATTTCTTGGTTGCATAATATGGGGTAGGCATGGGTGAGGCAAACACTTCATTTCTGTTTGTCCACGTGGGGTTATAGTTCTTTTCCTGAGTATCTATTTATGCAGCTTTTAAGACACTCTCTATATCTTGTTGGACCTGATAAAGAGCCTCTATTGGGGCAATAAATTAACAGTAAGTGAAATGGTAGCTGTCAAGGTGTTTCCTCAACGGCCATATGCTAGCAGCTGCTAGTGGTTACAGTACCAGAGAGTCCTGGAACTGGGTTCCATCCTGGTTCTCGCTTGTGGCTCTGATCCAGAACAGGGCTCTGGAAGTACTGCCTTATAACGTCCCTCTGACCCTTACAGTCTGAAAAAGTGAATCTAGTCCCAAGGTGCCTAATTTATAATGCCTTATGTTTAACATCACAGCTGAAAGTTTGAAAATCACTTTATTTCATGCGTTCACATTTACGTCTCCACTCTAACTGTGAAAAAGGAGACAGATACCGCTACTCTCATTTTTCACAGGAGGACGTGTGTGTTGTTGGAGAGCACTGGCCTCGCAGCTCCCTCAGCTAGTAATCTGGGGGCCCAGACTCGACCCGCAGCACTGGCACTGCTCCCCGGGGTTTCCCGCCCGTGTCTGGTGGCTTCTCACCCTGAAGGAACTCTAGCCCGGTGGGCTGTGTGGCATGAGCATCTGAACTCCCTGTATTGGAGCTGAGTCACTGCCCAGCTCACTGTACAGACAATGAAAGATCTGTCATCATGCTATTTACATAGTTAAATTATTGTAGAAATAACTCATCAGTAAGTATGGGAACCTGACAAGTTTGCTGTTTTCACAACAGATTGAATTAGATAGCGATTTGGGCCATTTTCTCCCATCAGCTAGATTTCATCAATATCGTAATTTGTTTTTCAATCCACCAAAGGCTGATTAGGCAGTCGGATGACCCAAGTGACTAGATACTCCCCACTCATCTTCTCTGAGTCATTTGCAACCGTTTACACAGCAGCAAACTCTATCCAAATAACCCCTTCCGGGGAAAGAGGAAAACACATTTTAATATTCATTGCCTAACACTGTCGTTTCTGTTTCATAAAATCATAGTATAGTGAGAAACCAGGGGGGAGCCTGGCCCCCCAGGCAGAGTGGCGCTGTTGTGTGATTTTGTGATGGTCTGCGTGGACAGATCCAGCCACTCCCCTCACAGCATGGCAGAATGTTCCACTGCCCTTATAATGAGAAACGCTTCCCTTCGGTATCCTAAAAATTCTTTTTTCAGCACAGGAAGCCATCCCATCTCGACTACTTGTTTAGTACTGCGAAATAGGTATATTTAACAACTCTGTTAGTACTGTGTAATAAAGAAGCTGGAAATGTAGGCATTCAAACATCCTGAGTGTGCTTTGCCACCTATTTCTGACAGCATAGTGGCTTAATCAAGTTCTCAGGGACTAAACCGCTTTCCTGAGCAGCCTTCTGAGTTTACAGAGATTTCAGCATTCTCGTGAAACAACTATTGACAAGTATCTCTTAGGGGAGTATGGAGGTGGATGTGTTTCCACAAAGAGTAGTTTGTAATTTCAAGTGTGGATATGTCTCTTAAAAATCTAGTTTGTACTATTTATACATTTAATGTTGTGATTATCTTAAACATATTCCAAAGATACATTTTGACACTCATCATCTCAAATATGAAACCTCATAAAAATTATACACAGGAAAAAAACCTAAGGTATGTTATTACATATCTTCATGTTTGCAGGATTGCCTATATTTTTATGTATCCTCTAATTTCTCCCTCTAAGTGATTTCTCCATAGCTGCACGTGTGACTGTAGTCTCATTGACGAGTATAGATGAACTGCTCACAGAATGCTCTCTCTTGAGTGAGAAAACAAGGATGTCATGCTATAGGGTACGTGTGATGTTTGGACGTCCCCTTCTCAACTCAAAGGCTTCCTTTTATCTATAGCATACAGGGAGTAGGAGAGCTTTTAGTAATTTTTAAGTTCTCAAAATTTTTAATTTTTTTCAATCATATCCATCATTTTTATATATGGGTTCTTTTCGTGACCATTTGGTCCGGCTGTATGTTAGTAATTAGTGTGTTTTCTTTAACTTTTATGTTCATTACAGTAACTGTCAAGGTTAGAAACTTCTGCCAGTTTTGAAAGACTTTATGGATGACCAATTCGAAACTGTCAGGACAAACTTAAAAATCAAAGTATGTCTTGTTAGCAAATTAGATCTCGTATCAAATGAGCTATATCCATTCTAATTGATAGTTTATACACATAAATTCAGTTTATACACATACATTAATCTCTCATAAGGTAATATTTTCTTTAATATGTCATTCATGTCTCTTCCTAACAGTATAACCATGGGGAGATTTCCTGTTACTCATTTGTTTTTTAAAATTATTGGAATGCCTTCCAAGTACAAATGCATAGATATTTCATCTTTTGAAGCTCTTGAGTTCCTAAGTTTTGGGACTTTCATGTTTGTTGATTTTCGTATATAGAGGATTGTAGCTGTTTATTTGTTCCTTTCCTTGCTACAATTTGGCCCACAGCAGTATAGCTAGAAGTATCTACGTGCAAACACTAGTTTAATTCTCCCCAAAACTATCAGAGAAGTCAGAATTTAAACCTTAAACAAGAAGAAAAGAACTATTCCACTGTTATGTTTATAAAGGGGATTTTCTATGAAAAGTGCTTTGCTGTTTGTAATGTTAGTATTTTGTTGAACTCAGATTTGCACTGAACGTGAATATGCTTTGCTGGAAGACCTTGAGGAAACTTTGAAGGATTTCTATTGTCCTGATATAATTTCTAACTATATTCAGAAATTTGAATGTTTCTTTTTTTAATCACTAGGCTCTTGGAGAAGTTTCTCCAGCTTGTTTTTCTTTTCACTCTTTTGTTCAAGGAAATACCATCCTTTCTAGGCCATAATGTTACAGAATGAAAATGCTTTGATAAAAGAACCAAAAAGAATGTCTGCTGAGATGTAAACCTAATTAAGATTCCTTTTAATTGCACATATTGAATCCAGGAGAAAACAAATTGCATTGTGAGATCACTCATATATGCCAAGCTGTTATTGTTCAGGCTATGGATTTAGAAACAGGAATATATACATACAGTCTTCAGCATTTTGTAGGGAAAATATTGTCTTATTCTTGGTAATTCGTAACCTTCATAATGTACATCAGGAGTATACAAAGGCCCCCCAAAAGGGTCCCCAAAATAAGAAACCTAAGAGCCTGTGTTTCCCAAATTTATACAGCCCACTCCCATCTCTCACAGGACGCAGGGCTGGTAAAACACTGTTGGTAAATGCAGACCCATGGGTGCTAGGAGATCCAGACTTGCAACGGAAGAGGCCCAGCACAGAACCCAGGCTGGGAGCTCTTCCCTTCCCTGCTCACCTCTCTCCCCAAGACCCCAGATCAGGGCCACCACATGCTGTCTGTAAAGTACAGCATGGGAATCTGACTCTATTCTGCCCAATGTCATAGAGTTCTCTTTTACAGTGCTTTGTTCCTGATATTTTAAGGCAGGAGTCAGCAAACTTTTTGTGTCAAGGACCAGATAATAATTATTTTGAGTTGGGAATGCAGCTCAGTGGTTGAGCTCTTATCTAGCATACCAGTGCCTGAGCTCAATCCCCAGCACTGCAAATAAATAAAATGAATACAAACAAACGGTGTTTTAGGCTTGGAGCACCATGTGGTTTTTGTCACAACTACTGAGCTCTACCTTCCCCATTGTAAAGTACTTTCTAACATAAGCAAGTACCATCCTTGCACTAAAAACAATAGCTACAAGTGAACACCTCACAGGTTAGAACACAGATCATTGTATAAAGGTCTTTTCTGATGTAAGGACCTTTCACATGTG